AAGTGGTGGTGGCACCTGCTGGACATAGGCAACAACTGGTAAAAAAAAAACACACCTGCGATAGAAAAGCAGGACTCTGCTTGTTTAGTCAAGCAAAAGGAAGGCTGAGAGGGGCAATGATTGTGCTCTATAAATACATTGCATGGGTGGGGTGGTGCTAATAGTATGGTAGGGGACAAGCTAGTTAAGCTAATGGACAATGTTGGTTCATGGGCAAATGGGGGTGAACTGGCCATGAACAAATTCAGGCTGGACATTAGAAGAAGGTTTCTAAGCGGTAGAAGGATGAGTTAGTAACTTAGTTTGTTTCAAGAACAAGCTGGACAAAGTTATGGATGTAATTGTATGAAGGGGTTACTTTTGATGGTGGGGAGGGCAGGGCTGACGTCCATGTTACACTCATGCTTCAGGGTTTCAGCCAGCCAGCTGGAGGGGGATCAGGAAGGGATTTTCCCCCACCCTCAAAGTAGTCTGGGAGAGTTGTTGTTTTTTTTTAAATCTTCCTGCGATACATCTGGGATGACCCTCCCCCCTACTTCCTGCCCCTGTCACTCCTCAGCCTTGGGGAAGGGGCCTGGAGGGGTCACTGTACAGGGCGCTGCCCCGCATGCATCTGGACTCCCTCACACCCCATACCCAGACACACACTCCAGCTGAGCCTCACTCCCCCCCCCAAGTGCCCACACACATGTGAACGCCCATCCCTCCTGCACCTGGATCATGTCAACAAGCTCCCCCTGCACCCAGACCCTCTCACCCCACTGAGCCCCCACTTGCTGCATCCAGACCTCCACCCCGACTAAGCCTCACTCCCTCAGCACCTGGACGCCTCCCCCCCCCCGCTGAGCCCCCATCCCGCTCACACCAGCCCCCAAAGCTCCAGACCCCTCCCTCTGCTGAGTCCCAACCACCTTCACCTGAACCCCCCCACACCCACAGAGCTCCATTCCCCCTGCACCCAGAACCCCCCAAGAAGTCCCTGTGCATCCAGATTTTCCACTGCTGAACTGCCCCCCTCCAGCTTGCCCCACACAGAATCCTCACCCCAGCTCCCCCACACTAAGCCCCTCCACACTTGGATCCTGCACGGCAGAGCTGCTTGCCCCACACCTGGATCAGTGGCCAGGGCTGGGCATGCAAATGAGCCTCTGTTCTTCTCACTGTCTTGGCACCTGGAATGGAGGGGCAGGGCCCTGGGGTGTGGGGTGGGCGTGGCCCTTGTGAGGGTCAGGTACAGCCCCACTGCCAAATCTAGCAGGGGGCACAGGGTGATTACCTACTTTTGTGCAGCCAGGGCCCTGTTCCCTGCCCCCCCCCCCTTCCCATGCTGCAGCCTCCACATTTATTCATTGACAAATAAAATATGCAGCATTTTAAAATGTTGCACACAGAATTTTTATTTTTTGGTGTAGAATTTTTAATTTTTTGGCACAGAATTCCCTCAGAAGTATTAGGTGCTTGGCTGGTTCTTGTTCAGGGTCTAACTGATCACCATATGTGATGTTGGAAAGGGAATTTTTCTCCAGGTCAGGTTGGCAGTGACCGTGAGGGTGTTTGCTTTCCACTGTAGTATGTGGGTACCTAGAATTATCTGGGTCTATCTCAATTATTTCTCTGATTTCTCGCCCCCGCCCCCCCCAGCGTGGTAGGGGAGGGCGCTGAGCCTGGCCGGGGGCCCGCAATGCCCGACCGGCTGGAGCGCCGGGGGGAGGGCGGCGAGCCTGCCGTGACTCCACTCTCCCCGGCGGCCAGCGTGCCAGGAGGAGGGCAGAGAGGCCGGCCGGGCTCTCCGCTGTCCCCAGCAGCCAGAGCGCCGTGGGGAGGGCGG